ATGGATTTTCAGGGACACGCTGAAAACTTCATTTTACATTTCCCACAACCGAAGGCGATGGGAGCAGCTGGTGGTGCTCCTACAGCTGCCTCTTCTCTCTCATCCACCAGTCCCAGTGAGACCTGAAGTGCCAGGAATTTGCCCTTCCCCTCTGAGCCAGGCAAGTGACTCCACTGGCCAAGGATGCAGCAACCAAGAAGCAGAGGGAGGAACTGTCTCTGTGGGGAAACACAGCTGTGATTCCCTGCTTGGGAGGGAGCTGCCTTACCCCATTGGGAGGCTGATGAGCCTTTGGAGGAAGATGGTTGAGAACTGCACGGAAGGAGCAGGTTAATGTCCCACGACAGTACACTGTAAAATGGGTAATTTCTGTGCACTGTGCATCTTGCAGAGCAGCAGCTCTGCCTAAGTGAAGGTTTATGCAAAGCCCCGCTCAGCGGTGAATGCACCATTAGGCCCTGGGGTGGCTGCTTAAATTGCACTATTGATTTAATGTGCAGGAATATTTGTTAGTGCAGTGGAGAGGTGCAGCTAATGACTTCTGCTGGCTTCTTCAGATTTTAGTCTGGCACACAAGGACAGAAAAGCCCGTGCTGGTGAATGAGGGGAAGAAAGGATTCACAGATCCCAATGTGGAAATCTGACTGTGCGTGGCTGAGCCGAGACCAACACCAGGTAAGAGCACGTGTTTTTAACAGTAATGAGAAGCTGGACAATGGCAGGAAAAAGATAAAAGCTCTTTTAAATGAGCTTTTCTGTTTCCATTTTTCACACCTCTGACCCTCCCTTACTGCTAAACTTCTCAAGACCATTAGTTAACCTCTCTTTTTTTAAGTTAATCAATATTTAAGACAGGCTGCTAAAGGGGAAATGCCTGGTGAGAGGTTGAGAAGGAGAGAAATGCAGGGAGTAGGAGTTTAGGTATATAGTTATAAACAAAAAGGTTGCCTTAACTGTGCTAATATAGCTAAAGGACAGAGGTGAAGGGTGGGGATTCATCCATCTGAGGAAAGCTAAAGCAGGATCAGCAAAAGGATTTTTAAGTCAGGCAGAAGCTTTCACTGAAGGAAGAGTTTAATTTTTATCCACATCAAAGCCACAGAGAGTCAGTGACAAGGTAGGGAGGGTGTGGATTGAACCCCACTGAGGTGTTTGTTTATCTAAGGTGAGCACGGAGTGTTTTCCTCAGTGGAAAAGAGGAAGGAACACACACACTGATGGTTGACTCGCACTAGTTCATGCCCTGGCTCCTCACCTTCATTACCTGAGCACCCTGGTGCATTCAGCCTCCTGTGTTTCTCCAGGGCACACTGCAGTTGGTTTGCAGGAGTGAAGGATGAGTTATTCACCTGTGTCTGCACCCAGGCTATGGAGCTGTGCTTCATTATTATGAGGAGAAAAATAAATGCACAACTCCCTTTAATTGGAGTGCAGAACCAGGCCTGGAGGGGAGAGGAGGTTGCTGCTCTTGAGTACAGAGAAGAGCAGCAGAGGAAGGGGGTAGATTTGCTCAGCAGTGGTGTATTTTTAAGAGTAATGAGCTCTCTTATGGCACATTCCCTGAGGGCAGCTGGATGGAGCCCTGGCTGCTGCAGGGGCTGCTCTGTGGCCCGTGGCAGGGCAGCAGGAGAGCCTGGCCCCCGTTCTCTGAGCTATATATATCAGCTGTGCAGAGAGGCCGTGGCTTTTGAATGCTGTCACAACTGCTGCTCCCCAGCCCAGTTGCTTAGCAGCAGAACTCATGGAGCTGAGCTGGGTTTTGGGCTGCTTCCAAGGGGTAGCAGCTAAATGCAGCGAGGCAGAAGGGTGATATACATGCTGGTTGTGTCTCTGTTGCAGAAAATTTCTTCATGCACAGCCTGCAAGGTTCCTCTCCACAGCATCCGACCAGCCAGCCAGGCAGGAGCCAGGACCTCTGCTGACTTCCAAGAGTTTTAGCGTACTGAAACCAAGCACCACTGCATACATAACCCCCCTGGATCCCCCTGCCCTTCCTCCTGGACTTGGAGCACAACCAGATGCTCCAGAGGTGGAGAAAAAGCACAGAAACCCCAGGACTGACGTGAGCTCCAGGACAGGAGCAGCTGCCTCGAGGGATGCTCGGTTTGGGAGAAGTGCCCCAGGGCTCCCTGCACTGGAGCCTGGCCCAGCTGGAATGGGGGGCTGGACTGAGGGGCTGTTTGACAGGACCTGAAGGCCAGGGTGGGAATGTCCACAGGAGTGTGTTGGCCCCAGGGAGTGGTTTTTCCTGAGACACACGAACCCCGTGTGCGACGTGAGCAGCTCTCTGTCCGTGGAGGGGACAGCTGCCTTCTGAGATGGCACCTTAGCCCTTAATTTTAAACCTACTTTAATCAGTGTTTATTACGCTGCACAAGACAGGGGGAGAGGGGGGGAAAGCAAGGCAGGTTAGAACAAACCCGTAAGTATCACTGTTCTCTTTGTATTCCCTCCCCTTTTCCTTCACTGGTTTCATGGTTTGGAGGGCACTCTGACACACTTTGTGTTCATGGAATCATAGGAGGGTTTGAGCTGCAAAGGAATTTAAAGGTCATCTGCTCAAACCCCTCTGCCATGTACAGGGACACCTTCAACTAGACCTGAGAACCCTGTCCAACCTGACCTTGAATATTCCCAGGGATGGGGCATTACCCACCTCTCTGGACAAGCTGTGCCAGTGTTGCACCACCCTCATTGTAAAAAATGTCTTCCTTATATCTAGTCTATCCTCTTTTAGTTTAAAACCATCACTCCTTGTCCTATCCCTGCTAAAAAGTTTGTCCCCATCTTTCTCACAAACCCCAGTTGAAGTGATGCAACACTTGGGGGCCCTCACCAGAGTGGGACAGAGGGGCAGAATCACTGAGCTGTTGATCCTTACCAGTTCACCACCCTCCCTGGATGGAGTGATGTTTACAGCACGTGGCTCTCTATTCATCCACACTAAAATAATTGCAAATGGAGTTAATGAGATTGTTGGGGACGTACACCACAATATTCCCCCAGATCTTGGTTCTGTTTAGCCCTAATTTGGTTCATGTGAGCGTTAGGCGTGGCATTCTCTGAAGGGTGCTCCTACGTAAAGGCAAATTTCCACTCTCAAAAAATAAAGTTAACTGCTTAAAACTAGGGACTGAATGCTAAAACGTGATTTTAGTGCATTTCCCATTTGACTGGAATGTATCCCTCAGGCCCAGCCCCTTTTCCAGGGCCATGCTCCTGCAGAGCTCCTGGTGTGAAAAGCCACACTGGAGCAGTTCCCAGAGTCACCTTCTGATGGACAGAGCAGCACCCTTGGAAAGGGGATCCTGTGCTCAGTGCTGTTTCTCCAGCACCTGGCTTGAGGGAGGGTCAAGGAAACCTTTAGTCACCTCTTCCCTGTCCTGTAACATCAAAGGACTCAGGACAGAGTTGGTGGAAGGGTGTTTTCTGATGAAATCATGTTTTGCTTCTCAGTGAGAGACACAGGACTGGGCAGTGCAGAGGAGGGACCTGGGTGCTACTGCCTTGGGTGACTCTGTGTCTGCTGAGGAACAAACTGAGGTACAACACGTCCCTTTACAAACCCCCAGACTTCCTCCCCCTTCACAGCTGTTGTCAAACCTTTGATCACCCCCTGCTGTCCCAATTCTTTCAAAAAAAGGTCTGAAGCACAATTTTACCTTTGAACTGAGGGAAAAACGTAATCCTGGAAATAGGCTTGGTTATTTTTAGCCCTAACAGGTAGAACTGTTAAAATGCTCTGGGTTTGATTGTTGGCTTCACGGTGCAGAAGTCTCCCCTTGGACTAATGACATTGTGTATTTCCTGATGTTTCAAAGGAAAATATTTTTTTGTAAGTTATTTTCTCCCTCTGTATATCAGAACCATTGGGGAAAAGTTGCATTCTTTAGTTCCCAGCCACAGAAGCCTTTACAAAAACGTTCCTAGAGATGCAATGGCTGAAGCACTACTTGGATAGAAAGTGTTGGATGCTGCTGGGAACGGGGGTTGTTATCCTGGATTAAAATAGTAGTTCTTTGCACTCAAGCAGATTAATCCTCTTGTTGTATTGGCTTCCCAAGTTCCCTTCAGTCTGTAAACCCTACAGTGGAAAGAGACATTTTTTCAAGGACTACCAAGTTCTCATCCCATTTAAATAGTTTCCAACTGATGTCCTCTCCGAGCTGCACGTTTTGGTTCACTAGTCTTAATTCCAAGCCCTGCTGGGTTGCAACCTTCCCTCCTTGGAAGGAAATAACTTCCAGAAAATGCAAAGGATGGAGTCCTGAGCACAACCCTGCACATTTGCTCTGGTCACACGAGCCTGGGCCCTTCCAGCTTTCCCAGAGGCTGCTGTGGCCCTCGGGAGCAGGGATAGGGATGTCCAGTAGGACCAGCTCTGGCCAGGATGGGGTGTGTTACAGCTGCACTGTCTGTTCTCAGTTTTAAACAAACTGTATTTAAATTTGTTAAATAAAATGATGGTTTCTAAGAGCCAGGATACCCTGCAACTCCATTACAGAGCCAGTGCATGGTTGGTGTTTCTCTCAGAGCCCGAATCCTGTTCCTGGCACAGAGAGCAGGGGCTGAGCAACTCCTTGGAGGTTCTGAATGGATTCACAGCTTGAGTTTGATCTCTTCCTCTCCCTAAAGAGACTGCAGCTCCTCTGTGACCTGCAGCTGGTGAGTTAAAACAACTTGTCATGTTTACCTAAATCCTGAGTTTCTGCTTGGAGGGACAAAAAGAAACCAGGACCCAAGATCTCCCAGCGGGTTTAACTAGAAAGTATGGATGTGTTTCCATTTGTAACTATGTACACAACCCCTTTGCTTCTATCCCAACCAAAATCTGATCCCTGCTCCTTTTACAAGGGGGAATTTCATTTTTAGGTGCTTTACAGTGTAAGCCCAGGTGGGGAGAGGACTGCAAGACTCACTTATTCTTTTCTCCTCTTTGGAAATTCTCATTTCTGCCTGGCCTAAAACATAAGGATTTGACAGAGGACAAAACACATTTCACTTTTTAAAACTTTTTTTTTTTCCTTTTGAGAGAGAGAGACAACCTCCATCGTAAAACTGAGTGGGAAAAAAACTCAAATTAAAGTCATTTGACAACCACCTTGGCTTCCAACAACTGAACAAATAACGGCCTCTTTGCAGAGAGAGGTGCTAAAATCTGCCTGGAAGCACAACAAAATGGTTTTCCACACCTGATTACCCACACGTTCACCAACTATTTTCTCCCTACCTAATTATAAAAACAAGGAGGCCAGTAATAAGACAGTTTTAAAGTCACTGGAAAGCTGAGCTCAGCTTTCAGTTCAGATGGCTTCATTTCTTTCTTTCTCTCCCACCTGCCTCCAGCACCTTTTTTTACTCCTCCACATTCACCAGATGGTCCAAAACATGCACAGCCAGCCAGGCTGTGGGTCCTCAGTAGTCCAGGGAGATGAGCTGCTGCATCCATCCATCCATGAAACAACGGCCCCTGCTTCCTCAGGGCCCATCCCCTCCTCTGAACTCACTGCCAAAGGGCAAATCCTTTACCTGGGTCTAGTGGAGATTAGCATGCCCATCATGTCCCCAGACATGCAACCAGGAATGTTCAGGATGAACCAAACATGGGAAAGCAGCTCTCCTCAGTCCACGTACTGGGTCCTTCCCAAGTAAGGGATGTCCACGGACTGGATGATCCTGCCCGCCGTGCGCTCCTCGAAGATCACAATCTGCAGGACACAGGGGGATCTTTGAGTGGGATTCCTTCACACAAAGGCTGAGTTACTCTGAGTATTTTTAGGAGGAAAAGGCACACGCTCACAGCAGGGGAAGGAAGCATCACTTAGAGGGATCAGTCAGGGCGAGTCTGAACAGCAATCGTGATTCTCCTTCAGCACCACGTGGTGCAGAAGTGAACCAGCATCACATCAGGTGTGTCTTGATTCTGAACTTGATGCAGTGCTTTGAAGTTTAGCTGCCAATGTCTTAATGGTTGTCAGAGCCAGAGGAGCTTTACAGCAGCACCTTCCCTAATTTTTACAGACCTTAGGAGGTAACACTCTCCCTTTATTGTGCTGGCTTCCAGCTGGAGATGGGTAATTAATATCCTGTACATATCTGGCTCTTTGGGACGTGGCTCAGGGCAGGATCTTTAACAACACAAACAAAGAGCAATCCCCCCCTTTCCCCTCACCTCGTTGTCCCCTTTCTTTAACCAGGGCCCAGGAAGGTAGAGAGTTTCCTGAGGTCCAATTTTCCAGTAGCGGCCCAGGTTCTGCCCATTGACAAACACCACTCCTTTCTCCCAGCCCTGGAATCAAGGCAGAACATGGAATTACTGATGCAGCTCTGCTGCCTCGTTAACATCCCCCCAGGAAACTAAATCTGCTTTCACACTTGCATTCTTTCCAGCCACTTTCCACAGGTTTTCTGCTTGCTTTCCCTGCACAAATCCCTGAAGCCATGAACATTTAAGTAAGCCCTGTTGAACTGGAGTTATCCTTAATGTACTAATTAAAGGGATAAAGCTCTCAAAAATGTGCAATTCATGATTTGTGCTTGCACAGGAAACTTCATCCTTTTGAACAGCCTTTATTCCTTCCCAAGCATGGAATATCTCCCCTCACCTCTTTCCCAGGTGACAGAAATACTGTATTGCTGCTGACTGGCATCATTTACAGCAAAGTATTAATGGGAAAGTGAGCAGTAAGTAATGATTGGTTGGCTCTGAGGGAGGGAAATCAGAGGAGAAAGTTTAATAATGCTTAATATCTCATCTGAAGTTCTATGCAGGAGCAGCAATCTTCCACAGAAAGACAACAGGAATGCCAACTCCCATGCCATGGCTACAAACAAGTGACTCTTTCCATATCACATCGAGGATAAAACTAGTCCTTCCTTTATTTTTTGTGCCCATTACTCTTCTAGTAAATAGAAAATGGTATTTGTATGTCAATAAAAAAGACTAAGTGGTCATTAGCAGCTCTGCAGGGTCAGTATTGCACATGTTTTTTCATCAGGACAACCACAGACTGAACAGAATTACCTGCCAGCTGGAGAAGACTCTACACCCCCAGAATAACTCTCCAAGACCAGAGGAAGACTAAAGAACTAAAGAACTACAGAACTACAGACAGAGCTCAGTCACAGCTAGTGCACAAGAAGAGTCTCTCTAATCAGCTTTTGAAAAATCTTGATCAAGAAAAAGCAGGACTTACCTGTAGCTTCAGGAAAGTGTCCTGTGGCTGTTGCTCTATCCACAGCCTGCCACGGAAAAACGCTGGACCAACAAAGTAATCTGGGACTGAGCTCCACCCAGAAACTTGCTGCAGGCTGAAAGAGAGGGACTCACTTCAGACAGGTGTGTACTGGAGCTACCTGGCTGTGTCTTCATGATCACAGCACTGGGAGCCCAGCTTGTGGTCCAAGAGAAGGATATCTGGGGCTACCACCAACTCTGGTACTTCACAGCAACATAAAATACTTTTTACAAGTGACGGGACAAGGGGGAAAGGAGTCAAACTGAAAGAGAGAAGGTTTAGATTAGATATTAGGAAAAAATTCTTGGCTGGGAGGGTGGGGAGGCCCTGGCACAGGTTGCCCAGAGAAGCTGTGGCTGCCCCATCCCTGGAAGTGTCCAAGGCCAGGTTGGACAGGGCTTGGAGCAACCTGGGCTAGTGGAAGGTGTCCCTGCCCATGGCAGGGGTGGAATGGGATGAGCTTTAAGGTCCCTCCCAATCCAAACCAGTGATTCTGTGATAAAAAGCTCTGCTTCATGTTGGTTGCTGAAGTGCCCATCCTCCTCCACAGTGCTTGCTACAGGAAAACCTGCAGAACTGACAGGATTCAAACCAGACATTCCTGCCCAGGAACACAAACACATCCTTGCAGGTTTGCAGTAATTAGGGGCAATCTGACATTATTTCTTACCTGTGGCAACAATTTGGGAGGAGGACACAAACAGAAGAGGAAACAAGGAGTGGAGAACCCCACAGAAGCCTTGAGCCTCTGTCAGAACATGTTCCTGCTGACCCTCAGGAGCTGCATCTCTTGGACTCAGGGAAGTTATTGATCCAGTGCAGTCTGACTGCTACTGAATTATTCAACTAAAAGCCTGTGACAGTTCCTTTCACAACACTCTGCTCCCTCCTCCCCTGTGGGGACTGTAAGCTGATTGTGTTCCAGTGCTGCTGGTCAACAGCCAGGAACTGAGGGCAGTAGGGACTAATCTTGCTTTTATTTGGGCATGGCAGCTCACTTGTTTTAAATGTTCCTCACTGGAAATATTCCTCTAACACCCTGCAGCCCAAAAGATTGGGAGTTACCCCATCAATAAACATCCTTCAGGCAGCCCCCCAGCACCTGGTAAAATTGTCCTTGGAAATTTCCAAACATGGATTTTTTTCCTTTGCAAAGCCACTGGAGTTTAACGTTGCCTCTCCTTCCTACACAAAATGGGGGAGCTGTGATATCTTGGGGGATTGCTCATAAGTTGCTTTCTGGTATTAACAACATCACTGAAGAGTCTCCCTGGATCATGGCCAGAGTCCACAGGGTTTAAACATGCCTATGATTTTCTCTATCTGCTGACAGAGACTCCTTGATGTCCCCTGACAGATTTCCTTTCTTGAATTAAAGCACAATAACACAGAAGAGAGGAAGCCATCTGGATTGTTAATGTACTATTAGCAGCTTTCTAGAATTAATCCACCCCTTGAAGTCTGAATTACTAAACATATCAGCCATACTGGTGATTTCCAGAAAGACCCAAACTTCTCCAACATGTGGGTGTGTGGGGACCCACCCCTTTGGCTAAGTCTTGCTTTTACCTACCTGATCTAACCTGCAAGCTGCAAGGAAATCTTGAAATCCTCCACAGAGTGAATACATTTCATTCTAAATAATGGTATGGATAATCTAGCACTATTTTCTGCACTATTTCAGGCAAATCTATCAGCAAGGAACTTCTCAGTGCAAAAATCCACCTCCCTGCTGTTACCTCACGTTGCCTTTCTCATACATTTAGCTGCTCCCTATTAGATTTTGCACTGCTGGTAAACAGGTGGTTTCGAAGGAGGAAGGGAAAACAAAATGTTTAAATCCCACAAACCTTTTCATGAAGGCAGGTTTCATCTCCAAACTGTAAATCTTGAAGTTCCTCAAGGGGGTTTTATTCAAGAAGACGTCACCAATTAAGCCTGTGAGAGCAATGGGGGTAATGAAGAGTTGAAAAACAGCTAAAGCTGATGGATTTTCCTATTTGAATGCAGGGAACAGCAGGGGATGGAAAGCAGCCACGTTCTGCAATGGAATTAGAGTCCATATGGTCCCATTGCTCATCCAGATTGAGTGGGGAACATTCCTACACTTTGGCCTCTCCATTCTCTCCTTTGCTTCAACTCACCGAGTCGTTCAACAACTCCAAGCAGAAAACACTGTTGGCACATGCAGCAGGTGGGGGGTGGTTGGTATTGTTGGGGTTTAGTTTATTTAGATTTTTTTCAGAGCAGTGAATCAGTCACTTCTCTAACAGGCACAGCAAAACATGACATGGGCAAGTACTGATGCCCAGGGCTGGTCCAGTGCTTTTCATCCAAGGATCTTAAAGCACCTTAATCAGTAATTTACCTTGAGCACTCTCTTGTTATAATTATTCTCCCTATAGAGGCAAAGCCTGGGTCCTGCACTTGAGGCTGCCTAAGCAGCACAGAGTCTTTCTGCACCTCCTCTGCATTAAATAAAATCAATACAGTCACGTGCCAAACTCCATTAATCTATTTTATATAGCTTTTGCATATAGTTTCCTGCTAAGACAGAATCCTGGGGTTTCAGCTTCTTCCAGCTCTACAACTGTGTGTGACAGACTTGAGCACTTCAGTAAATTCTGCTCAACAGGATGCAGTTCACTCCTGATACTGTGTGAGTTTTTAAATGGTGTGATCCTCCAATATCAGCCCCCCGGGGGAAAACACAGATTAAAAAAGGTATTTTCCTTCTCTCCCTGTGAAATAAAATGTTCACAGAGCAAGAGAAAGGAAATCTGAACATCACCTAGGAAACCTAGAGGAGAGCAAGATTCCTTGATGGCCTTGGGTTTAGCTGTACCCCTATAAAAGAAGAATCTTTAATGCAAGGAATTAAGCAGCCACAGCTTTTCACCTGTGACCCTCCAGACAGGGGGTGATGATGTTTTTTGACACATTCCCTCCATCATCCCATTCCCACCAACTCCCAGTCATGTCCAGCACCAAGAGAGCTGCACTGGGCCCTTAGTCTGGTGCTGTGCAAAGCACACAGACAGTTCTGCAGGGCTTAAACTCAGGAGAACTCTCCAGGGCAGTCTGAGAACACAGAATTTAACCCACCTTTCCTCTGCTCATTCAGTGCCAGGCCATAATTGACACGCCCACGGTTCTCCACCAGGAGCTTCAGCTGCCTGAATCCCTAAAAAACAGAAGGAAGAGCATCAGCTGGACCAGCTGTATCAGCCTCAAGGCCTGGTTAGCAAAGGTGTTCCAGAGGGAAGGTGGCACCAGTACCTCTGGCAGCTGCCATTTCTCACTTTACTTTAAAGTTCCAGCACTGAGGAGCTCTCAGCCTCTGCATGGAAGTTTTCTGGGGTTTTTTCCTGTTGAATTTTGAAGTCCCATTTGGATTTCACCCACAGAGCCAGCAATGGAGTCTGACACAGGACAGGCTAATGTCATAAACCCTCCCAAAGGCCTTAAGAACAACTGGTGTATCCACCCCTCACCTGCTCCTGGAGCCACACACAGCTCTGTTGACATGTGTTCAATCAATACATTAGTCTTGGTGCCAATTCCTGCCAGGGTAAGACTGCCCTCAGCCTCCCCTCATTTCATTTGAGACCCAAAAGGTACAAAAAGCCCCCAAACGCTCCTTAAAACCTGCTTTGTGCTAAGGAAGATGAAGATTTAATCTGCACAAACAGGGTACAGGTGCTTGATGTCCAAGTTGCAGCTGTGGCAGGAAGGCTGGCAAATTGTGTGCAGCAAGGACTACAATAACTTGAATTTTCTCCACAGGAAAGTATTCAAACCCCACTTTTCCATCACAAATGAAGTGAAATCACACTATTTTACTAGTGAGATGGTGTCCAATTTGGGAATAACAACCATTCCCTGCTGTACCAGCTTGTCTGGGGTAGGTGGGAGGTGCCTTCCTGATAGAAATTCCTCTTTAGTGATCCTGGCTCTGTTATCCACACCCTGCTGCTGTGAGCAACCCCCAGCTAGTTACCTGTCCCTCAGGAATGAAGAGCTCCACTGTGTTGTAGTCCAGCTCACCCACATACACAGTGTTCACAAACACCTGCACAACAGAGCACACGAGACAAGAGCAACTTCACATCAATTTTACTATAACCATGTCTTGCACAGGTTACTGAAGTTGTATTTGGGGAGAAAATTATCTCAACTTGAAGCCAGAACTCAGTATCCACAAGTGTGTCACTGATTCAAGTCCAGGTGGGACAAGAAAAAAAATAAAATCACAGTATTTCTCAGAATATTCAGCATTCTCAAGTTTAAAGATATTATAAGTTTTAGTAAACTGGAAACTCAAATTTAATTACAAATGGTAAGGGTCCTGGAAAGAGAGAATCACACTCCTAACCTACAAGTTCACATTTCCCCCCATTTCCTGCCTGGTTTTCCAGACCAAAGCATTTCCATCCCACCCCAGTGAGTCCCAGCTGCCCTCTGGTCCTTACCTGGGCTCTGTCACGGACGTGGTTCCTGGTGTGCAGTTGGCCACCCCCAAAAATGACAGTCTCATAGAGCACATACCCGTAGGACTGCCCAGTGCTGTCGTTCAGATGCAGATTCTCCATGTTCACAGGAAATTCTGACTTAATGGGCTGCAAAAGAGAGGCAAATGGAAGGTCAGGAGTGGTTTCTCAGCACTGACAGGCTGGTTTCAGACAGGTTTACACTCTGCCACAGGGCACATCTCCCTGTGAGCCTCCTGGGAGCTGCTCCAACCCCAATTCCCTCGTGGCTCTCTGAAAGCTACAGCAAAGTACCAGAAAAGGGAGCCAAGGACTTGCAAAACTGGAGTCCCAAGAGAACACAAGTAGCAGTAAAAAAAGGTGAGATAAAAGATTTGCTTCTTTTACATATTCTTGACAAAACATTCCCCAACTTTCTCCTCGTGGGATAACAAGCCAGTGCACTAATTGCCTTTTGCACCTAAGAGGTGATGCCTTTTAGGTCTGAGATGCATTAAAATAGTTGTTCCTACCTGTAAAAGAGATGGTAACACATCCCAGAGAGAGATGTACTGATGCAACAGGATTGCACCATATGAAGCCTTGCTTTCAATCAGGGGAGGCAGAGGAAGAGGATGGCCTGGGGTGCCAAAAAAAAAAAGAGAAAGATGGAACAATGATTTCAGCCAACACACATTTAAGGCCTCTCCAGACCTTTGGTCCCTCTCCCATCTTTTGGAAATATCCCCCAGCCAACCAACCAACTCCAGCAGAAGGGGCAGTTTAAACAATTCCCTCATTTAACACTGTGGGTAGAACAGTATTTTGGTTCCTGGGTTTATAATTACCAATGATCACGCTGAAGAGTTGTCTGAGCTTGAAGAATTTGGATGTGTAGTCTCCAGCCTCTGTCAGCACAGCATCATAGTCTGGAAAAGCAGTACGTGTGATTTAAAAACGTACAGCAGCTCTGGGACAGCTTCATGCAAGAAGTAAAAACCCAAGACACAACTTTCATGGCACTTTAAGCTGAGTGAATGTCACTAAACAACCACTAATTTGGAGAAGAGCCATTCATGAAGGAGCAACATACTTTTAGAGACCTAATTTGCACATAATCCAGAATTTCACACGGGATAAAGTCAACAATTGAGCATTTTAACAAAAAGCTGTTGGGATGAAGAGAGATTTATGGTACAATTTGAGTGGATAAAACCAAAAACCAGAATGGTATCTTGGAACATCATCCCTCCCTTGGAAGAGGAGAAGCAAAATCATCATCTGTGCTGCTTCTGTTTGCAACTAATGAGGGGATCCTCCACATCCTGAAATGGGTTTGGAAACAGGAAACACTAATGTAAACCCTCCTGTTAGATAGGTGTTTGCTTCTGAGCTCATTTTTTCATGAGAAGTGGTTCTGCTGACCATTTCTAAGCGTGTCTCTGTCACTGTCAGTCACCCAGGGGGAGTCAGAGCTGCACTCCCACCACAGGCAGGGCAGTGGAAGAAAACTCACCATAACTGGTGACATCTGACTTGTACTCATCAGCTTCCACAGCCCCATTCATGAAGCCAAAGTTGGTGCCTCCGTGGAACATGTAGAGGTTGATGGATGCTCCTGTTTTGAGGACACTGGCCACAGTGGTCACCATTTCTGCAAAGGAAGGGCAGTGCCAGAGGGGCCACAGAGCACAAATCTGGGCTGTAACACTGCCAGGAATTCAAAGCAGACACAAACACCCTGGCCCCTGTCAGCCTGTGCAATTACAGTGATTTGTGTCGTGGTTTGTATCTTGCACTGACACTTTGGGACACATTCATACATTCAGATAATCCTCTCCTCTAAGTGAAAAAGGGGAAAGGTCATGGACTCCAGCAGGAATTTTGCTTTTAAGCAGCAGAGTTGTAAGGACTACTCAGCCAGACTCCTAAACTGAACACACTAATGACCCAATTACAAAGACAATTGCAGGAGGATAAGAGAGTCATTAAAACAGTCTTATATAGCTCTGTTTTCACTGCACTTTAGATGCCCTGGAGGTTCTGGAGCTGTTGGTTTATTTTTTTAGTACTAGTCTTCCTAATGAGCTTTTAACCACCAAGAAGGTGCTACACTTGCAAGAGGATTAAATTCACCATATTCCCACAGGAGGTAAAATGCTCCCCCGTCTGCAAGGACAGAATTTGGTGCTCACCATCTGCATCAAAGACATAGTGAGGGCCTCCCCAGTTATCAAACCACCCAGTCCAGTACTCCATCACCATCTTTGGCTGATCTCTCTGTGTCAAAAAGAAAAACAGAGTTAAAATGCATTCAGGGCAGTCTTGCACTCACCCCTGTGTTCTAGAGAAGCATTGTTCAAATCCAGTTCAGTGAAATGGTTTTTACAAGAGTGTTTTCTTCTCAACTGGCACAGACAAAAGGCAGCTAAGGAGCTCTGGCCATGTGAGGAACAAGATGCTGTGGGACACCAATGCCCAGAAGAGGCAAGCAAAGCTTTGTGCCTCTGCACAAAGCAAAAAACCCCAGCACACAATCAGGTGAGACCAAACAACTCTGGATGCTGTTGTTTGGTAGAGCTGCAGCAAAAAAAAAGACAAACCAACTGTCACTGTTTAGTTTCTGCTAGAAATGCACATTTATAAATGTCTGCTTACGTGCCAGGCCACTGCCAGCTGAGAGTTTGCAGGTGCAGGGCAGGCAGTGCCTGCCAAGGTACAACAGCAGACCTTAGCTGTTAATGCCTTTTTAATGCTGCATATGGTGTTGGCAGGGAAGAATTAGCCTTTGCAGGAATTAGGTCTTCATTAAAGGCTCTGCCCACAGAGCAATTGCTTCCCATTTGTCACCCCCTGCCAGCTCCCTCAGCTCCTGCAGAATTCCACCCAGACAGGACAACATGTGCTGCCACTCCAGCCTCGTGGGCTTCATTTCCAGTCAATTTTGCCTTTTATTGGATAGAGGCTCTACTTGATGCCACAGGAATTGGCCAAGGTAAGGGGCATTAAAGCAACTTGTATTTCATTAGGAGAAAACAACTGCCTGTAATCACCTAAATGTTCCAGGTATGGAGCAGCTCTTGGAAATACTATGAATCAATCCATGCCCAGTAAACCAGTCACAGAAGGAATTTTATCACCCTCTGGAACAAAAGCCCATAACAAGAAAAAGACAACACAGTTTAATAATCCCTAAAAACACGAAAAACAGGCTTCCTATCTTGTAATTAGTCAGTGTGGCAAAGGAGGAGCTGCTTTTGTGGGGCCATGTTGCATTCATTTGGTGGGGAAGGTGCCACCTTCTGTTCATTTGCAGGGTTTGGGGAATTTTAGAAGACCTAAAGAAGGTGAAAGCACGTGCAGCAGAGCCTCTTTTGCCAGCACAGGAAAAGAAAACAAATGCAAAGTGTAGTATTAAACATCCAGCAGCAAGGCTTCCTTCCACAGCCCAGGAAAAGGCCAAGGGAAGGGGTGAGAAGAGAATTGATTGGGGATGGGGGGAAATGTCAACTGTTCACATCCTTCATTTGGAGCAAGGAGAGCAATGGGAAGAGGACAGAGGATGCAAAGAGAGAGACAACCTGTCATTAAAACCAAAACTTGCTGTTCCCTCACTATTCCCTCATCACAATCAGGGTACTTTTCACATCAAGTGTTCATCAGGCAATTCCCTCCCTGTTCACCTCTCTGACAGCACAGGGGGTTAAAGATGCTCAAGTGACACACTAAAACTTCCTCAGTCTTCTCTGAAAGAGGTATTGGGGTGACTGCAACACCCATGACCCTGCACCCTGAAAACTGCAGCAGAGCAGCTGGCTGCAAACACCCTCCTGAGAGCAGCCACAGCACCAGGGTAAAAGAGTTTGGGAAAAAGATGATGGAACTTCAAGAAAGGGGTCTGACAACTGTGAACTAGGATGCTACTGAGTATCTAACCCCTAAGAGCTACACACAGGGCACAGCTGGATGGAAAGGTGCTGGATAACAGCACAGTTAAACCCTCCTTCACTGATTCCAGAAGGATTTGGCCTGATGAGAAGGAAGCCCCAAACCAACACACAAAGCCCAGACAGACTCTCAGTGCTTCACTTCTAATGCTGCCCTGGACAACCTGCATGAACAATGTGTTTCTGCATCTTACCTGTACTGTGTCCAGATATTTCAGCAGCCCAGGTTCCAGTTTCTGAAAGTTAACAGTGGCCAGTGCTATCGGGAAAAGAAAAATGTATTAATTTAGACTCACACAAAATGGGTACAAGACCATCTCTTTAGGCATCAGCCCAGCACAAGCTCAGGGGGAACTGGAACATCTTCTGAACCACCAAAATAACCTCCTCAGAAATTTCCCATCAAAGTCTTTGCTTGGTGGGCAGAATCCAGCTGAACCACAGCACACAGTGGAATCCTTGCAGGACATCATTTAGCTCCAATGTTCAGAGCTACTAGAAAAGAGAGCATCAGAGCAGCTCATGGGGTGTCACAGGCTTTAATTAGAGCCTGTAAAGCACATGGAGATCCTCAGATAAAAGGCACCACATAAAGGCAAACTTATCAGAAAGTCCTGTGTGGATGCCACACTGATCTCCCAGGCTTTAGCTGCAGGAATTGCTACCCAGGCAATATCCTACAGCTTGTCATGTCTGTGGGAGAGAGTGAGAGGAACCACAGGACAAGTGAACAAGAGAGAATTGGAATTGGAAGAGTTTTCTGTGCAGGGAAACCAGCTGTGTGTGCTGCAGGATCTTCAGGCCCTGCAGTGGGAACACCTGCCTGCAGGACAGAGGACACTAATCTGGGATCAGTGTCTCAGCCCCTGGCACACATCTGAACTATTTTCATCCTCTTCTAGCCCGTGGTCACACTGATATTTTTTCAAACTTTCAAAATGCAGGAGCAATGATATGATTCTGTATTAAAAATCAACTTCTTACAAGGGAGCTGGGATCAAATCCAGCCCCAGTTGTGTCAGACTGAGCACTTCAAACAGAATATTTACAGAAGCAAAAGCTCACTTCTCACTATTTATACCTTGATTTTAAGAGGCTGATCTATGTACTGTGCTGAGCTAAAGTAACTGGCACAGAAAACATGAAGGGAGAACAAAACAAAACGTGGGTTTAGCACTGATGTAATACATTAGTTGGCAATCCTGAAGGAGAACAAGCCCAACTCTGCTTTTCATGCAGATTAACAGCACACCATGAAAATGCAGAGTCCCCAAAGCCCTGCTGATCCTTCTCACAGGATCCCACATACACACCACTTCCCACCACGGTCCTGGGGGGACACCAGAGGCTTTATTTTGTCACCCATGAGCCCCAGAAAGGCTGTACCAGGTCAGAGCAGAACCACCCAGCTTGGAATCCTGGAATGGTTTGGGTTGGAAGGGACCTTGAAGATCATCTTGTCCCTGGGCCATGGGCAGGGACACCTCCCACTATCCCAGGTTGCTCCAAGCCCTGTCCAGCCTGGCCTTGGACACTTCCAGGGATGGGAATTGATTCTGACTCTCCTTTAGCTCCTTCCTACCCACCCTGCTGCTGCCCCACTTGGAGCCTCAGTTATTCCACACCCCTGATTCCTGACATTCTGACTCTGATTGTTGTGACATCCAAGAGTTAAATCAGTATCCAAGAGCTCTCAGCATGAACACACCACAAAAGGCAACTCCAAACAAGAAGGAGCTCTGAGGCAGCAAACATCCCCTCAGGAGATGAGGGTTAGGCAGGAATTTCCACACCAGCCCTTCTCCTGCCAGCTCTCTGGCAGGGAGACAGTGACTCTGTGTGGTCACAGCTGAAAACTGCTGCACACCCAAAAAAACCCAAATGAGAACATCATCCTACTGGTGAAGGCCCAAGGACTTCACTCACTGAGTTTGTCCCTCTCATACTGTCATATAAAAACAAGAGGAGGGAAAAAAAAGAGAGGAAAGTCTTCCCCTTTAACCATCTCCATGGTTGAGGTTAGAAAATTAACATTATTTCCAACTGAGTGATGACAGGAGCACTCCAAGTCTGCACCCTGCAAACACTTCATTCAGGGAAGCAACTCCTCAGGCAGGCAATGGGAACACAGGAGAGATCAGAGGCCAAGGACAGAGTAAATCTCAGCTGAAATGATCTGGAAATGGGAGAATCAATGTTACACCGTGCCCCAGACAGTCAGATTTAGGGCTCAGTGGAACTCAAGCAGCTGCACCTCCATTTCTGCACAGGGAAAAGGAGGTGGATGGAAGCAGCATTTTTAAACTTCAACAGAATTACATTTTTTAAAAAGGAAAATAACCATCCTTTGGCACTGTGCATATCTGATCCCTTCCTTTACCTGCCTGAGGCTGTTCACCCCAAAACAAGTTTGCTGAGAAGGTAAGGCTGCCCCACAAACTACTGGTAAACTTACAGAATGTTAGAATTCAGAATCAAGCTTTTGATGGACTTTTTTCTTCTCTTTTTAATTGCAAAGCAGCTATCTTAGGAATAAGTTACTACTGCTAGTAATTGCTGAGGTCCTTCTTTAACATACATTGAAATGAAGCAATAAGTAATATTTTCAGCCTTGTAATCTGGCAAAATAACAAGAAATGCTGGGTGCTGCCATCTCCTGAGTCACTGGGAAGTACAGATGGCCAATCCTGTGTTGTTCCTTACATGGAAAAAAACACCTAAACCTTTCTGGGAAGGGACTGGGCTTGACAGAACACACTTGGTGGGTGCAGCTTAGTGCAGGAAGTGTCCTGTTCTCCTGCAAAAGCCACGTTCCCCAAGGATCACAGCCTTACCTTGTCTCTACCAGCACATACCTCCTTCCACCAAGCCAAATGACAGCCCATTCTTGTTGTCTGAGGTCATCAACAGTTCCACAATCCCTCTCTTTAGCAGGGCCTAAGGTAAAAAGAGGAGAAGCCATTGTGTCAATACACCTTTCATGGCCTTCACCTTTGGGAAGGCAAAGGTAGTGCACTCAAAAGAGTGAGATAAGGACAGGGATTTGAGGTTTTGGGTGAGTTGGGGTTGCTTTTTGATGAGTATTTAATTCCAGGAAGATTGCAGCTTGGCCATATATGCTAGATGTGAATTAATCACCTTGCCACATTCAAAGCCCGAGGCCCAAACCAGAACAAAGAACAAGAGCCCCACCTCACATCAGATCCCACTCCCACCAAAAAGGAATCCCTGCAAATCCTGCTTTCCCACATTTTCATCTCTAACCACTCCACTCCACTTCCTCGGGTGCAAATTGCACACAACCCCAGAACATGATGAAACAACACTGCAAAAATACACCCACAGGCCTGGCAAGGGGATCTGTCCTGACAAGTCTGGGGAACAGCCCAAGCTCTTTCCTCCCTGAGCCATGGAAAAGCAAGGATGAGTTTGCAGACCCCCCCCAGAGTCTCTGTAGCCCATTTAGGGCTCTGAAAACCATTTGTTTGGCATTATGTCTGTAACTTGTTGTACATACACTTCCTATTTAACCTTGTAGGCAAAGTGAAATCACTCCATGAGGTGGAGTTGGTGCAGGAGCAGGCCCAGCTCTAACAGATTAACACTCCTGCCACGGGATTTATTTGCTGGAAAAGCCTCTGTACACCTTGAGCAATAGGACAACCTGAGCCTCAGGGTGAAGCTGAAGTACCCAAAAGGTTACAGAAAGATCTGATAAAGCTGTAGCAGGAAACACAATTTATAGCACATACACACTGGAGGGATGACCTCCCTCACGTGCAGCAACACTCTTAAGCATTTAGTGAGAAGAAATTAAACAATAAACCTGTTAAGACACACTGCAGATCTTGTTATCTGCCTGACTTTGGGGGCAAACAACCAGGTCAGACTGCTGGGAGATCCACCAGGATAAGCTGTCCTAGTGGGCACAGGCCAACTCCTTATCACCCACTCAGAGGCAGGAGCCAGGGCACAGTCTGATCTCTTTTTGACAGGGGTAAAGGAGGCCTTAGGCAAATTAACCTGCCTGATGTTGAGCCCCAGATTACACAAGTTTAGCAATGTGTTGGTTCACATCAACCTTCCCCCCAGGAAAGTCAAAAAGAGAAAACTTTATCTAATGTCATCTGAGAGAAGCAAAACAGGACTCCCCAGGAGGAGCTTCTTCAAGACAGGCTATGCAATGCAGATATTCCCTATTTCCCTATCACCCTCTTCTCTGGAAGACATAAGAACACAGACTTATCAGCACTGAGAGGGCCACGTGCCTTCTCTTCCACTCCAGGAAGAAACATCCCGGGAAATGCAGCTGCATTAGGGACTGACGCTTTCAAGAGTCTCTGAAGCCACTCTCAGAGTTATTCAGAAGAAAGAACACACTCTCAGGAAGGTGGTTTATGGGAGATTGAGCACAGAAAGAAGCAGAAGTGCCACCATTACCATTTTGACATAGGTCATGTAGTTGGGGTCTTTGGCGTAGGAACCGTATTCATTCTCCACTTGCACTGCAATGATGGGACCTCCTCTCTTGTACTGTGGGCAGCAAAAAGGAGTTGTTGTTCATCATGATTTCTAATCCCAGGGCACAAAATCACAGTGGCAGTGCCTTGCAGGAAAGATGCACCAGTCTCAGACGGACTCAGCTCCACCCTCTCATGCTCCCAAACAGACACAGACAACTACAGCCCTTGCTGCTTCCTAGAGCAAAACTGGTGCTTCTGTCATTGCTTCAGGCTGCTGCAGTTACACAGAGCTCACACCCACCTGGGCAGTCAGTGCCCACCCCTGGGGAGGGCAGAGGGTGGTACTTGCCTGGAGAGGGACAACAACACGCATCAGGCGATCGAAATAAGCGTCCACGGCCTCCGTGAAGCCCTTGTAGGTCGTCCTCAGCTGCATCTCTGGGTCCTGCAGCAGCCAGCTGTGGAAAAGCAGCATTCAGAATGTGTTCCAGTCTCCTGCCCAGTCGAGCTGCCAGAGGTAACATCAGCCACAGCTGGGCAGGAATCACTGGTGTTCCCGAGCCACAGTGGACAACCCCAGGAGTGCCAATGACACCCCACCACTCACACTTTTAAATCACCCCAGGCTCCAATTGCCAATCTCTTCCCCTCCTTTTTGTTCTGCACTTCAGGCCTAAACTATTTCATAAACTTGCCCAAATATTTCAAGGGCTAACCTTATCTCTCTAAAGGTTACTCTGGAATTCCCTGCATTCCCAAGGGTGCTCTACAGCCAAGTGCTCCTTCATAAAGATCCCAAACATGGCTCAAAACAAAGCTTCCAGTCATTGTTCCCATTGTTTCTACTTACAAGACTTAGTTCTGTTTGGGTTTAACACAGAAAAGGGCAATTTGTTGAAGAGTACAACAATATAGTGCTGTAACCATTTAAACAGAGTGAGCTTGTGCCTTCCCTGTCTCTGCAAAAGGAGGGATTAACTAATATCCTTCCAGAGGCCTGAAAGACTCAACTCCTCTATGCTAAATGCAGCTCAGCAACCTTACAAAATCATCCATGAAATGGGAATAGCACCGTTGCTCTTTATCAGAATTTTTAATCTGTCTGATAAAAAAATACGTGGGCGATGTGACAACACCTCAGCTCTCAGAGCCTCTTAGAGCAAATACAGAGTGTGCTTTAGGGGACAATACAGCAGGAGGCTGGAAAGTTGTGGGTCTTTATTACTGCCACCCATTAATACAGATGTTCTAGCAGGACTTTTAAAATAGACCTGAGATGAAGCAAATTCTTACACCAAGCTGCAAAGACTGTTCACAGACAGTCAAGGTGCAACAGCAATAGATGGGTTCCCCCAGTTCTGTTTTCTTGCTGTAAGCATTATGCCATAACACAATTATCATTTTAAAGATAAACACTCAAAAAAAAAATTAGAGGAGCTCAGGAAGATAATGAGTATTCACCCATTTTGGGGACAAAGAAAATAAATATCCCCATCCAGCAGCCAGCCATTGCAAAGTAATTCCTTTGAAGGACACTCAGCTGTATGATCAGGGAGTTGGGGTTTTTTTGTCCCAAATGCTTCCCTCAGCTGAATTATTTACACACTTACCTGGGCAGACCACCAAGGTCCCATTCTGAGCAGATATAAGGTCCAGGACGCAGAATCACCCACAGCCCATTTTTAGCTGCCAGGGAAAGGAAGGCCCTGGAGATACAGAGAGCAGCATTACTCCCTGCCTGCAGAATCCCTGCCCCACACACTCCTAATATTCCAACCACCATGAAATTCAGGTACCAAAACCAGCAGGGAATTGCTTGATGAAGCAATCCAGCTATGCTGGATTGGTGCTAAACCCCCAGAACTCCAGAAAGCAGAGGGGGGAATTTAAGTCCCCATTGCCTGAAAAAGGTACAGCTTTGCTTCAGGAGCTGGAAATGACATCTTCATCCAGACCACCCCACACACCCTCCCCCAAAACAGGAGTATTCAATAGCAGAGCTGTCTGTACCACATACTCTAGATCCAGGTTTTGACTGAAGTCAAACTTCCCTCTTTGTTGCTCATGGAGGTTCCACGGCACGTACCTGAAAGGCAGAGTTAGGGCAGGGGAGGTGAAGGATAATGCAGTCTGGCATGCTTAGAAAGAAAAGCTGAGGCCCCACTTCTCCTTTTTATGTCTTTTCTCACAATAAGAAGTACTGTTAACATTGTTATGGCCCACTGGAATTCATGACAAAGCCTCCCAGACGAGGGGAGAGGCTGTGAGGACCTTGGACAGAGCCTGGGGAGGGAGGGCACTTACGTGGTGAGGGTGTTTAAGCCACAGGCTTTCATTTTAAGCATCCGATCTTCCCAGTATTCCCTGGGCACTCGGAAATAGTGCATGGAACCCCCAAAGATGCGGAAAGGCATTCCTTCCAACAGGAACTGGGAGTTCTCTGTCTGCAAGCCAAGGGTCCTTCCCCACAGCCCCAGAGGGGTCAGCTCACTCCAGTTAAACCTGGAAGAGAGAGACACAAATGAGCATCCTGGGGAAGGGATGTGTCCCCCTGGGACAGGCTGCTCCTTCCACCTTACCCAGCAGGGCCAGCTCTGGCCTTCCTGCTTCTTAAGTAAAACACACTCTTTATCACACAGAGCATATAGATTGCTCAGAAGACTATAAAACAGTTGGGAGATCTTCCCAAGATGTGGAATTTATATTCATTTCACGAGCAGCTTCCATCCTGAACGCCCCAAGCCACTCTGCCACACTCTACAGCTGAAATGCTCAGGCACAGAGCATGGAATTCACTTGCTGAAAACACAGGATGGGAAAGCTTTCACTCACAATATCCACAAACACTTCCATAACTTATGAAATTTAAGATCTCCCTGTCTTTTAGTGGATGGCACACGGTGGCTGACTTCCAGATCCTTGTTCCCACTGCAGTATTGCCATCCTGAATGTCTCGTGGACTCTGGTATCTTCCAGTGCAATGCATGGAAAAAATAAAAACCCCCTCACCTGTTCCCTGTGAGCAGAGAACCTTTTCTTTAATTTAATGAATCCCCTGGATTATATTCATCACCAAGGAAAGACTAAGTCAGCTGTCCCCACAAACTTACCTCTGCCCACATGGCTGTTATTAACTCCTGCACATGTTATTTGCCCAAAGAACTGGAGCAAAGTAGACACCAGTCCCTCAGCACTTACCAGGGTGAGCACTCACACTGTCACAGCTCCATCAGGTCAGCTCCTGCACCAAGAAACTGCTTCCCACTGCCTTACAGGTCCCCAGCTCATTTTGGCTGAACCAAGAAAACATTTCATCCCCAAGTCCAGCCCCAAAGCAGTTCCACTGCCTCCATCAGACCACCCCAGTTGCACAACTCTGAATACACAGAGTCAGACAATGGCAGCTTGTTATCAGAGCCAGATGTGAGGAATGAATTCCCAGCTCCAGAAAGCAAGAGTGACCCACACATTTGGGAGAAACATCACACTGAGAGAAGAGAGGAGCACCTAAGCCTTCAGCTGTTGGCTACACTATGTGTAAAGCAGTTATTAGCAGAGGGGGAGGATGGCTCAGAGCTCCTGGGATTGCAAACCAGCAGCCTGCAGTGACTGCCTGTCCTCTGACAAGACAAGGAGACTACAAAGGAACTAAATCTAAGACTTGCAGGGTACTGCACGGGCTGGCTGACAAGCTCAGAGGGTACCTGTGTAGCACAGCATTCTCACAGGGCTCTGAGACAGCCGGCAGCAGGCAGGGGTAGTACCTGCAAAAGGAAGCCAGGTTAGATATTCACTGCCTTCAGTCACCATTCATGGCCAAACCATTCACAGAAACAGTGCTGAGCAAGGAGACAGTGATGCATCCATTCAGAGGTGGTGTAATAACAGTTTATGAAGATAGTGCAGCTCAAAGTAGGAGAAATCAGTGCAAAATACCAATCTGTCATATTTAAAGGGTGACTGCCTGAGTAGGACCAGGATAGAAGATGCTCAGCTACCCAAGAAAGTGGGGACAGCCAGAGAATAATGAGGTGAGGCTGGGAAATGGCAGCATTGCTCCCAAGGAATGACCAGGAATTTCAGCAGCAGGGGAGGAGGTTCTCAGTCCACCACAGGACATCCTGTGGCCACCTGCCCTTCTGTTCTGCTAGAACCATCCCACACAGATTGTAACTTTAGCAATTCAGATCCCAAAACAGCGGCTGCACCTACTTCTACTTCTTGCTGGCAAGTCTGAGGTGGAAAGCTCAAAGGGGTCTGGAGACGCAAAACTTCAATTTTTAAAGATTAGGTTGGAAAATATCTAAGTTTCCCAGTTGTTTCTGAGCTAGACAGAGCCCTAAATTACCCTGCACACAGAAGTACTGCAGACTGTGCCAGAATGAAGGCTGTGCTCAGGAAGCACACATAGCCAGATAAAAATAAACTAATCACTTAAGCTCATCTTCTTAATCCTGGGCATAACTAACTTGGCACATTTCCATCAAGTTTCCTGTCTTAAAACTCCCCAGCTCTAGTATTTTTTCTCACCAAGAAGGACTGGTGGGAAGCTCCCAGGCTCCCAATATTTTCAACATATTATCCTAGATATCCTGAAATCACATCTCTTATTAGGATCTGTTTAAGTAACCTCAGAAAAAACACTTGTGTGACTCAGCAGAGCTTCATCCTGGAGCAACCCAGAGCTGGATTGCCACAGTTTAAAGTCTACCTGGCTCTGTGCTTCCTCCTGAGAGCAATTTATAGCTCCCAGGAGATTTTTTTTCTCACTTCTATAATGACAGCACAGGTTGCAAAGAATCTTGTTTTGCTTTGCTAAAGGTTACTGGCCTATTTTGTCCCTCAGTAGCCATCCCTGGAAGTGTTCCAGGCCAGGTTGGATGGGGCTTGGAGCAACCTGGTCTAGTGGAAGGTGTCCCTGCCTGTGGGCAGGGGGTGAAACAAGATGATCTTTAAGGTCCCTTCCAACCCAAACCATTCTGGGATTCTGTGAGTCTATGATTTCATCTCTGCTTCAGAGAAGTCTCTGTTTCTTTTTGCAAAAAATATCATTCTATTACCAAGTACCCCAGAACTGAGACTGTGAAATTGGGATGGACAATAAAACGATCTGTGTTTGTAAGATGGAATTTGAAGTGCAAAATATAACACATGGAATAGGAAAGTGCCAGTTAACTTCTGAACCAGACAGCTGTAAGACACAAACCTAGATGAACTCCTCTCTGCTAAAGAGGCTTTGGTGTTGAACCACCACATTTCCAGAACAGCTGGGAGAAAAAGCTATTGCAAAAGAAAAAAGTCATCCCAGGGGCCAGAGCCTGGAGACCATTAACTCGCTTTGCTGATGCTACAGGATGTGCTGCAGAGGACAAGGGACTTTGCAGCTAATCCCTAAGCTCCACTGGACCTGCCTCACAGGGCTTTGCTGTTTATTCTGGGCTTCCTCTTGGCCACAGGAAAGTGAAAGCTCTGAGCTGCCCTTGCTCCCAGCTCATTGTCCTGTCTCACAAGCCCCCGGTGCCCATTCACAAGGCTGGGGTAACAATCACCACAGTTTGTAGCACAGTTTATTCCCAGGTGACCTGGACAATGGAGATAAACACCATGTACCGATGAATACAGTGTTTTATGGATACACTCTTACAGGAGACAGACTCCCCTGCCTCTATCAGGTATTGGTTTGCAATAATCCTCTCTAAGAACCCACGTGGCACAAACCCAGGGCCAGCTGTAAAAGAATTTTGCTTCTAATTATGCAAAGATTCATCAAGGCTTTTCCATAGCTCTGAGCAGTAACTTCTGACTATGAATTTAAGAACCCGTTATAAAATAACCAAGTGGCAATAAATAACTACGTCTTCCCTTGCCTGTATATTCTACCTCCATATATTTCCATGTATATTTCCATGTATATCTCCAGCATTTCTTTGTCGGGAAGAGCTCCTGTCTCTTGGAAGCCACTGTGCACCTCTGGCTGTAATAAGGGACACGGCTCGTCCAGGAAAGAGCATCACCCCCAAAATGAACACGATCTAAAACACATGGGATCAAAGCTAGAACACTGAATAACTTCTTGGTATTGCAGGTGGGCTCCAGAGGAACAGCTGCTGGCCTGGAGTGTGCAAACAGGAGCAGAAGAAGGAAGATAACAGGGTTAGACAGGAGAGGTGGGCACAGTCCCTGGCCACTGCTCCATCCATGTGGCCACCGGTGATATGGGGACACAGGACGGGGAGAGCCAGACCCAGAACGGGCTGGAGAGAGGGAAACAACCCTGTGCGAGCACATCAGAGAGAGCTCCAGAGCTGGGTTAGATCCGCGGGAGCGATTGATTTGCAAAGTGCATCATCCATCAGCACGGCGATGATGTAAAGCCTCTCCGGAGCCAAGGTCGGCAGGAGAGCATTCGCCCAACAGAGAACCTGATTTATGGCGCTGGCGACGGGTCTTCCCCCAGCCATTACTTCTGGAGACGGACAAGAGCGGTGGGTATCAGGTGCAGCGTTTATTTAAAGCTTTAGGTAATTCCTGCGCGGCCGCAGCGCTGCTCGCTCCGGTCCTTCCCACGCTCCCGTTCGGCCGCAGGAATGCTGATGGGAGCGGGGGTCTCTGATCTCACAAGATGTTATTCCACCGAGCCTGGCCCCCCGCACGTTAATCCGCCGGCAGCGCGCGGGGAGCGCAGCCGTTAATTACGTTAATTCCGTTAATAACCGTCCCCCCCTCCCCCGGCCCCGATCCCATCCATCCATCCATGCGCAGTTCTCCCGCAGCCAACCCCATTCCCGGCGGGCAGGGCCTGCTCCCAGCAGGGCACCGCCACCCTCCCAACCCCTCCCCGCCGCCGCCACCCGCGGGGACCCCCCGCCCGCCCGCCTGCCCCGCCGGGGGCGCGACCCCCGCACGCCTCCCTCCCTCCCTCCCTCCCCCGCGCCCCGCCGGGGTCTCACCTGCGCAGCAGCAGCCACAGCACGAAGAAGAGCAGCGCGGCGGCCCCGAGGCGGCGCTGCCGCCGCCCTCCGCACGGCCACATGGCCGGGGGGACCCCGCCGAGCCCACCGGCCCCCGGCCCGCCCGGAGCCCCCGGGCCGCGAACCCCCGACCCGCCGGGCGCGCACAGCGCCCGCGCCCCGCCCGCCCGGCCCCGCCCCCGACCCGGGGCAAGCACGCCATTGGCCGCCCGCCCCGCCAGGACACGCCCACTGAGCACGCCCCCCGCCTCCCATTGGCTGCGGACGCCGCGCGCGCGCGGGGAGGGGCGGGGCCTGCGAGGGAGCGGGGGAGAACTCCGGGAGAGACCCCGGGAGAGAGAGAGACCCCCAGTATAGAGAGACCCCTGATAGAGACCCCCGAGAGAGACCCCGGGAGTGACCTTGGAGAGAGACCCTCAGTAGAGACCCCTGGGAGAGACTCCGGGGACAGACCTTCGATAGAGACCCCGGGGAGAGAGGGACCCCCAATAGAGAGACCCCCGATAGACACCCCGGGGAGAGACCCCGGCGAGGGACCTTGAAGAGAGACCCCGGGGAGAGAGAGATCCCCAAAGGAGAGATCCCTAATAGAGAGACCCCTGATAGAGAGGTCGGGAGAGACTCCAAGGAGAGACCCCCAAGAGAGTCCCCAGGCAGGGACCCCGGAGAGAGACCCCCAATGGAGACCCTGAACAGGGACTTTGGGGAGAGACTCCCAGACAAACACCCCTGGGGAGGGAGAGACCCTCGATAGAGACCTCCCATAGAGACCCTGCAGAGACACCCCAGAGAGAGACCCTCGGATACAGACCCCCAGTAGAGAGAGATCCCAGAGAGAGACCCCAGAGAGAAACCCCCGGCAGAGACCCCCAGTAGAGATCCCAGAGAGAGACTCCCAATAGAAACCCCAGCCCAGGCAGGGGGTCTCCCCGGGGGCAGGGGGCTGTTCCTGACTGAGCCCCAGGTGTTCACACCCTAAATTGTCCTCTCTGCCCTGCAAGATGAAATTCCCTTTGCACAATGTGCCATAAAACAAGGGAGGAGACACCAGGGCCTGCCAGGAACAGCCTCCTGCTGTGCAGAAACACTGGCATCAAAGAACACCTTTGCCCAGACCTGCTCTAGTGGAAGGTGTCCCGAGATAGTCTTTAAAGGTCCCTTCCAACCCAAACCATTCCATGATTCTGCTGCTAATGCTCTGTCATCTCCCCTCCCTGCCAGGTACTGCTGAGAGAAACCAGGAGCCGGTTGATTTGAAGAGGTTAATAAAGACATTAACTAAAAAACCCTCCAGCAGAACTATTTTGCAACCCCTACTTTGAAAATTCCCTGTTAGCTCTGTTTAAACACCTGAAATACCACAGCAGAAAATCATCACAGTTGACACTCCAATAACATTTCCATCATTGCTTTATTGATTCCAAACCCGAGGGGGAAAAATAGTTTAATTTACATATATTTTTACTTCCCTTACACCACTCACAGCAATGAGGCAACAGAGTTCAGTATTTCTGTGCAGAACCTTCGTGTTTCATTTGCACTTTTGTGCTGCAAAGGCTTCTTGGAGATTAAGCACCAAGATGTGGCGGGAATATGGAGAACAAGCAGTGGTGGGGACATCAGGAAAGGTGATCTGGGAAGAGGGAATGCTGCATCCTGCTCCTGGGATAAAAGCCACTGCACTCTGCAGGTGGTTAGAGCAGTTCCTGTGGGTCACTGTCAGCACCCAGGTTTTTAAGCAGAGCAATTAACTCCCTCAAACTAAAGATTTCACTGATCCCATGGGGTCAGGCTGCACCTCTGCCTGAGTTCCCATTCCAGTCCTGGCTTGGCAGAGGTGAGCAGCAGGTCTGGTGTTGCTCTTTCCGAAGAGGAGGGGTGGCAAACAGGCCAGGAGCAAGATTTGGAGACAGAGCCTTGTATTCACAACTGTGATTTATGTGTCCAGGCTGGTGCCAGCAGCTCTGCCAGGCACAGAGTGCAGCTGTGCCATCCAGCTGTGCTCCCGTCGGGATAAGGCAGGAAGAATGTTTCCACTGGGGGATCCCCCTCTCCACTCCCAGGGAGAGAGTTGGTGAGCAGGGGAGGGAAACAGGCTGAGCTGTAACAGGCAAAGGAATTTTAAGGCTGGAGAATGGCTCCTGGCTTCACCCCTGCAGCAGACTCCTGGCCACAATCATCCTCATGACCTCGTTGGTACCTGCAGCAGGACAGGGTTGCAAAGGAAAGACAGTTAAGAGATGATCCAATATTTTACCCCCCAAAAAGGAAAAGGGAATTCTTCCCTGATCTGCAGTTTACAGCACAGAAAAGCTCTTCCCACCAGCTGAGGAGGCTTTTAGGAGGTGTTGAGCCAAAACAGAGCTGACAAGTGCCAGCAAATCGCTTGGGAAAGGCTTCAGATGGTGGTGCTGCCTTTTATTTGGGCATTGGGAGGGTGCAGGCACCAGGCACCGAGCAGAACTGGATTTATACCAACATCTGAGCTCTCTGCTTTACCATTTACAACACACACAAAGGCTGCAAGCCCACTCAGTGTTGGAAGGAGGATGTCCCTTATCAGACACCCTGGTTGTAGGGGAAGGGATTTCAAAGGAGGGAAAACAAAATGTTGAGGAGGCCACAGTGAGATTAGAAAAGGCCAGACACTGTTAGAGACACGATGTCAAAGAGTGCAGACAGACCAGAATCACAGGAAAGGAATTGTTAGGGAGAATCATCACGTGACAAGGAGTAACGGGATGGAACTGGACAGAGGCACTGCTAACATGACAACTAAATATCTTCCTCTGCTGTAAGGCTCTTAAAATAGGCAGTAACTGCTCCAACACACCCAGAGCTCCCAGCCAGGGGACTCACACAGGACACCTCACGCTCAGAGCAAACCAGGACTCTGCAACCTAAGAATCCCAGAGTCATGTGGGAAGGTGGGGGCCTCCAGAGGGGCTTTTCTCTCCTGACTCCTCTGCCAGGTCGCTGGCAGTAAGAGTGTCTCTTACCTTCCAGGATCTGGTGGACTCTGATGTCTCGCACAAACTGCTGCACCGCATAATCCTTCAAGTAGCCGTAGCCCCCGTGCATCTGCAGAGCCTGGTTACAGATCTAAGAGGAGAACATCGCTGCTGAGGTGACTTCTGGAGGACACAGCAGTGGCAGAAGCCCGGTAAGACCCCAGGAACCTGGCCTCATTGGTTTTTTTCCCCTGGTCACCCAGTCTCATCTCCTAAACCCGTGGTGTGACACCACAGCTCTGCTCTCTGTCCCCATCAGTGCTGCTCTCGCTGTGTCACGGTCCCTAAGCGCTGTTTCACATTAAGGGTGCGTTTATGCGGCCAGGATTGCACGGAAACACCCGGGGATGGGGATGGGAATACCCGGGAATGGGGTATTTTTAGGGAAAAAGGCGCTTTTTTGCTGCATTTCTGTGGTTTGCGGATGCAAACCCGAACCGCCCGATCGCCACCTGGCGGCCACTCAGGGGAAGGGCCTGGATGGCTGGTTTCCATGGCAACACGACTCCGAGTGTCCCATCTGTCAATTTGGAATACAAAGCACAATAATAGCAAAAATACAGAGTGCTGAGAAAGCACAGCAGCTTCGAAATTACACTGATTTAGGGAACGTCGAGGGGCAGGTTTGCTTTTCTCTTCCTTCTTGCTTTCTCTTTTCAGGGTCGTTTTGGTAAGGTATGAAAATAATAAGGTGTTTTTCAAAGTGATCAGGTATTTTTCAGTGGTCTAGGAAAGACTACTTGCTACCTAGGAATAATCACCATGCAACATGGAAATTATCCTTTGAAAATAGAAATGTTCTGCTCCCTGTCCCATCTCCCTTCTCGGTCCCTGAGGAAGCAGCAGAGAAAGCACTTTGGAGAGACTGATCCTGCAGCATCCACAGGTGCAGAACTTTGTCTTATAAAACACCCTGGTCCTGAAATCATAACATGGTTTGGGTTGGAATGTTCCTTAAAGCTCATCTCATTCCAAACCCCTGCCATGGACAGGGACACCTTCCACTGGACCAGGTTGCTCCAAGCCCTGTCCAACCTGGCCTTGGACATTTCCAGGGATGGGGCAGCCACAGCTTCTCTGGGCAACCTGGGCCAGGGCCTCACCACCCTCACAGTCAAGAATGTCTTCCTAAACCCTAATCTAAACCTCCTCTTTCAGTGTGAAGCCATTCCCTCTTATCACTACCTGCTCTTGTAAATATTTCCTGTCCAGCTTTCTTGTAGGCTCCCTCAGGTCCTGGAAGGCTGCAATTAGGTTACCCCAAAGCCTTCTTTTTTCCAGGCTGAACAAACCCAATTCTTTCAGCTTTTCCTTGTGGGAGAGCTGCTCTCCATCCCTCTGATCACCTGGGTGGCCTCCTCTGGACTCGCTCCAATGGGTCCCTGTCCTTCTGTCTAAATAAGGCTCAGTGAACACACTTGGGTCTGGGTCTCTATGGCATCAAACTTCCTCCTGCCACCCTGGGCACCAAGGGGGGGCCTCAGAAGCTCTGACAGCAAGTGGTATTTGAGCGACCTACCAGGAAGCACTCGTCGGTGGCGAAGAGCTTGGCCATGGAGCAGAGCACGGCCGCGTCCTCCCGCCCGTCCTGCAGCGCCCGCGCCGCGTGCCGGACCATCAGCCGCGCCGCCACCAGCCTCGTGGCCATCTCTGCCAGCCCAAACTGCAGGTACTGCCACGGGGAGCACGAGGTCAGCACCCCCAGAGGGGCCTCAACCACAGCCCCACCGCCCCCAGGCAGCGCCCAGCCCCGACGCGCTTCCTTCTGCAGGGAACGCGTGTTCCTGGCTTCTCCAGGGAAAACCCTGAGAAGGGAGTGATGGCACCTCTGGCTGCCTGTTCAGCAGGATCAGGAAGAGCACAGGGGTGCAGGGTTGATGGAGGGGTTACCTGATTGTTTGCCAGGGGTTCCCCGAACTGTTTGCGGACAGTGAGGTGCTCCTGAGCCAGGAGGACGGAGGCGTGAGCAGCTCCTAACGAACACGAGGCTGGTGGGAGAAGCCAAGGACACAGGGTGAATATGAAGCCAATTCAGATGAGCATCAAGATGATCCTGCCCTTCACCCTTGCCCTTCTCACCGATGTTTAT